CTTAACCCCCAAGTAATAAACATTGGCGCATAATTCATCCTGCAATGTGCATGATAGCTCATGATGGCTTGTTGAGGAGAGTTGTGCAATTACTTAGTTTTCAACCATGGTTTTTGGTGGAGAACGTGGGCAAAGGAAAACTATGAGATGACATTAGGTCGTATCTATAGACCAGTTAGACTAAGACATTGAATAAAATATTTCTATAAATGTTCTTCCTACCTTTCTATTCATCAAACAATTTAGAAAAAAGGACCACAGTTTCCACAAAAATATAAGACAGCACCAACATTATTTTAATATCATACCGATACGGTTATAGTTTTTATTCATATTTGAATGAGTTTTTATTTTTATATATATTTTAAATTTTAGTTCAAGTTTTCGTGATTTTGTTGTGTTATTGTATATATATATATATATATATATATATTTATTATTATTATTTTTTCAGTTTTATTTTTATTTTATATTAGTACATCATGCTAAACTAAATTAAAATGAGAAATATTGCCTTGGGAAAATATAGTTTTCAAATAAAATGTTGAAATAAATAAATGTAAGTAATATTTTAGTTAACTACAATAACCCTGAGCAGCACAACAGTTTTCAACATTGATAATAATAAGAAATGTTTCTTAAGCAAAAAGTAGGCAAAGAAAACTAAAATGCCATTCAAGGACATATCTAGAGACCAGTTACACTTGGAAGTGTCCCTTTCAACTTAACCCCCTAGCAACCCCACAAATCACCTTAGCAACCACATTGCAATAATTCTGCAAAATTTTTGGAAACTATCAGTTGAGGACAGTCTCACCTGCATCCCCCATTGAGGTGAAAATGTTTTCTGTTACGGTCATGATGGTGTCAGTGGCCTGGTCGTATCGTCCGATTGGCTCACCGCAGCTGGCGTAGTGGCGCACGTGCTGCAGCAGGTCGCTGAGGGCCTGGCTGACCGCGCCAGCCGCCATGTTCACCTGTCGGATTAGCTCGCCCTCCTCTGAGGCGGCATGACATGCCTTCACACAGCCCTCCACCGATCGCTCCACCAGACGTCCCGCCTCCACCAGCTGCTCCTGACACACCGGGGAGGAGATGGTGGGGCTCACCACCTACCACAATCAACGTACATCGAAATAGATGAAAGACATCGTGTTCAGAATTGCGACAGATTATTTTGGACATCAGGTGTAAGGGAGTGTGTGTTTTTTTAGAGCAGATGAAAATACGAACTCAGAACTGAAATAGTCTCAGGGAATGACACATTATAAAAAAGTAAAGCAAAATTTAAGTGCCCCTATTATGCCATTTCGAATATTGCCTTTCATGCAGTGTGTAATGTAGCTGTATGTGAATGTAAACAATCTGCAAAGTAATGTCGAAAGTGCATCGTCTCCCAAAAGAAAGAATCGATTCTGAACGACTACACGTCACATGGTAACACATTTGCATAATGCACGCCTATGTTCTACGTTGGACGGCCGCGAACAACTTGACCTGCCCTCAAACACTGTAGCTTGTTTGTGTGGTTAACATCATGTCGAGAAGATGCGGCTGCAAAGAATCAGTGGTTAAAATAAATTTTTTCCACTGTACCTCAGCAGTACAACCCCAATCTTTTTTGTGTTCCAGTCATTTTACTGACGACTGCTTCAGTAAAATGGGATTGTAGGTGGAGGGAGTGAATGAGCAGCGCCCTCTTCCACCCTCAAAACCACGACTGAGGTGAGACCCTTGAGCAAGGCACCGAACCCCCAACTGCTCCCCGGGCACTGCAGCAAAAAAAATGGCTGCCCACTGCTCCGGGTGTGTGTTCACGGTGTGTGTGTGTTAGTTCACTACTCACTGCTGTGTGTGTGCACTTGGATGGGATAAATGCAGAGCACAAATTCCGAGTATGGGACACAATACTTGGCTATATGTCACGTCACCAAAACAATATTAGAAACCTTAAAAATGGCACAATATTGGCACTTTAAGTAGTGGCCAACTCTTGTATTCCTGATTAATCAGTCAGTATTTACATTTACATTTAGCAGACACTTTTATCCAAAGCGACTTATAAATGAGAACAATGGAAGATATCAAAATCAAAAAGAGAGCAATGACATGCAAGTGCTATAACAAGTCTCAGCTTAATGCAGTACACGTAGCAAGGGTATTTTTTTTTAAATTATATAATAAATAAAACAGATAGAATAGAAAAATAATAGCTTTTTTTTTTTTTAGAGGTCTTTTTTGCTTTTGTTTTTACATTTACATTTAGCAGACACTTTTATCCAAAGCGACTTATAAATGAGAACAATGGAAGATATCAAAATCAAAAAGAGAGCAATGACATGCAAGTGCTATAACAAGTCTCAGCTTAATGCAGTACACATAGCAAGGGTATTTTTTTTAAAATTATATAATAAATAAAACAGATAGAATAGAAAAATAATAGCTTTTTTTTTTTTTTTAAAAAAAAAAGCAGTTAGAAAATGAATAGAGGGCAAGTTTTTTTTTTTAAAGAATAGAATTAGAATAGAGAGTGCTAGAGTTAGGGGGTCAAATAAAGATGGAAGAAATGTGTTTTAGCCGATTCTTGAAGATGGAATAAAGTCTAGAGTTCCTTATTCTAAATGATTAACCAACGACATTTGGTGTCTTATGTGCTGTTATCTTTCAAAAACCCATTCAAATTCATGTTTCACAGATGTACTTCTTACTTTTTTAATCCCATCCAAATCAAAGTGGCTGTGTGTGTTCCTTTACTCAAATTTGGTAAAAATGATGAAGCAAATTACCTACTGTTTCTTAGTAACTCAAATACCGGGTATTATCACTTGTGCTAAATTTCTTGTAGTGCATCTTCATTATAGAATTATACTTTTTTGCTGTTTAAATCCCATCTGATTTAAAAATAATATTAAACCAATATGGTCTAGCCAATAATCTTAATTAATTACTTCCTTTAATTGTTCACAACTATATAATGACAATACAATATTGGTATATTTTATATTATAATATAAAAATATCAAACTTTATATAATGTTATAATTATATAGAAATATTTTAATTTATGTTTATTTTATCCAGTCTGAAAAAATGGCAAAGATTTAACGTCCCTTAATGTTCACAATTATTATAAATGGATCTAAATCACATTAAAATATTATATTGTACAAATGTATTTTTATTTGAATATTTGAATACAGACATTTTTATTTTATTTACTTTAAGTTTTTGAGGTAATTTTGGGTGAATATTTGGTCAAATAAGCACTCATTTTATTACTTTATTAAGCAAAGTAGAGTTATTTACTATCATTAAATTATGTGAAATACCATACACTACCATTCAAAAGTTTGGAGTCAGTAATTTTTTTTTTAAAGAAATTATTATTTTTATTTTAAATTGTTTAAATTTACATTCTATTCATCAAATAATACTGAAAAAAGGATCATGGTTTCTACAAAAATATTAAGCAGGAAAACTGTTTTCAACATTGATAATAATCAGAAATGTTTCTTGAGCAGCAAATCAGCATATTAGACTGATTTCTGAAGGATTACGTGACACTGAAGACTGGAGTAATGATGCTGAAAATTCAGCTTTGTATCACAGAAATAAATTGCATTTTAAAATATATTCAAATAGAAAACATGGTAAAAATTTTAAATTGTAATAATCTTACACAATATTACTGTATTTACTGTACTTTTTATTCAAATAAAAGCAGCATAAGAGCCTTTTTTTTTTTTTTTTAGAAAAACATTAAAAAATCTTACTGACCCCCACTCAGCAAACACTAACAAATAAGTAATTTTATCCCCAGACAAATGTGTTCTAGTGTATTCCAGATATCTTTGAATAAAAACAAGTTTAAAAAGTCATCAGTAATATGTATAAATTATAAGTAGCATTCACTTCCCCACAAACTCTGAAAAGTACCTTTGTACAGGCCACCAGCTGTGAGGTGGAGAGCGCGCACTGCGTGGCGGCGGTAATGACTCGGTTCTGCAGCGCCGTGTCCTCGGCCACCTGTGCCACGTTCTTGGCTTTCAGCACCAGCATGGCAGCAGCATTAGCTACGGCTTTAGCCAGGTTCATCATAATGTCCTGAAACATATTCGTCATTCAAGAAACACACTGTGAGGCAACCTGGCCCAGACTAACGAATGAAATAAACGCAAGGGTAGAGTTTAACAGAATAAAATAGAGGGCAATAAAAGGCTCTCGGAGGCTAACTGACTGTGACAGCATCAGCTGAATCACACTAAATCAAATTTTACGTGTCGAAAATGGGCGATAAAGTGTTTACTACAAGAGAAAACTGCTTTGTCAAGAAATAACGAGACATGTGATTGGCTACGGGATTTGACATGAACCAATCATTGAATGCAGGCAAGTAAAAATCACATTCATTTGCTCCCATTAATTTTTGATCTATTTTAACCATTCAAGACAGACCAACAATAAACTTTGATTAAATGATCAAGTTGGTTTTCCCACACTCTTCAACTTCCTATAAATTAATATATATATACTATAATATATATAGTCTGTTAAAGATAGTTACATCTGGAAAGCATCTGCTGTGGACAAACATCTGATAAACATCTTTATCAGTTTTACATACATTCATACATAAACTTCTTGACATCTAACAGGAAACGTCCTAGAGAGGCACTGCCGATGAGCAAACACTAAAAAAATAAGTCTCGGAGATGTGTGTGTGCTATCAGGGATCTATCTATTCTGTAATAAACTTAAAAATATTGTTTTTATACTTGCAACCAATGACAATAGGTCAATAGCTTTATACTGTACTCTCATTTTTCACTGAATTACATCATTCACAATGCTGTTCAACAATTAATTCTCTCATAAAACAATTTGAAGGCTTGCCTGCATTCCAAATATCAAGTATTTTTATACACTACAGAAAATAACAAATGTTCAAACAGTTTTTATGTTCTAAAGGAAACGGCCAAATACATTTTTTATGAATTACATTTTTCCCCCAATTATTGCAATTTTAATTTTTTTTCTCTTTTATGAATGCATTTTCAGTTCAAATCATCACAAATTGTTTAAATATTTACTGTATAAAATAAAATATTTACATTACTGTCCCTCGTTTTGGGACAAAAGAATGCCTGCTGAAAATTCATCTTTGTCATCACATTAATAAACGATACTTTAAAATATATTAAAATAAAAAAAATACTTCATATCACTGTTTTTACAGTATAATTTTCTTTTTATATTAATGTATCCTTGGTGAGCATAAGAGACTTGCAAAAACAAATTAAATGACTTCAAAAAAATGTAAATCTAGTGCATGATACATATTATCAACTATTATAATACTTTTATGGTTTCTTAGGACATTTTGACAGCCCGTTCAACACTACTTTCACTGTATGGAAAATAGTGTTGAACGTCGTTTATATTGGATGACGAATATGAACATTCCTCAGAACATCTCATTGGCAAGTCATACAGGTTTGGAACAACATAAGGATGAATTTCTTTTAATTTATTTTCATATAGATTTTTGCTTTGAATCAATCTTCGCAAATGCTGTAAATGGGAAAGATACTTCTGCATTCACTATTGTTCTCTATTCCAGAAAAAAGACAGACCTGGAATCTCTCGTCAGTTTCTCCTTCTCCCATTTGTTTCAAAAGATCTCCACTGGCCTGGCCGATGCTGCTCGCCGCGCTCAACACCGTCTGTCTGGGCTGTGGGGTGATATTGGCACATAAGAAATGACCCTTGTACTGCCACCGCAACGTCTCAGAACTCAAAACACGGCTAATCACATCCTGTCTATCAGCTCTGCACCCCACTACAATTACCCTGTCTAGCGCAAGCCAAACAAGTAAACAGATTGGGACTGCGCTCTGCAAACCAGGAAGGAAAAACACAGCTTAACGAGTTCATTATCAAATCCGCCTGTAAACAGCAGTGCGTTATTGGCAGATTAGATGTGAAGTGGTCGAGGGTTAAGATATTCAATGACACAGTGTTATTCTTGGGCCCCCTAACACATTGAAAAAAAAAAAAAAAAAAATTTTTTTTTTTACTTTCATGGCTTTAACACGCACCACTCAGATCTGCAACATGTGCAATAACGGGATCATTATTAGTGATCTCATTCAAAATGATATCCATATGACGCCAGACACATATGCATTCCATCTCTAGTGTGCACATCCACACTTCACATCATATCCTAACAAGCTCTTCAGGGCATGAGAACAGATGTAAAGCTCAGGCTGCAAAAAAAAAAAACCCAGTAAAGTTTGAGCTGGGCTGCTGGTTAACAGGCAAATCTCTGCACTATCAAACAGATGGCATGAGGAGATTAAATCCAGCAAAAACCTGGTCTGGTCCGCATGGAAGCTCTCCAGAACGCAGGAAGGAACACACAAATCCTGCCAAGCAGTTCAGCTTCAGGACAACAAACTTCAACTTCATTAATGGAAATATTTATTAGTGCAATTGGAGAGTGACTTATTATTTAGCAGTGATAAGAAACATTTTTCCATCATCGGTTGCTGGTATAAACCATAGAATGTATAAAAACATGGACGTAGAGTCCGTGACGTCAACCCATAGATTCCCTATCCCCAGAAAAGTGGGTGGAGCGGGCAGTCGCCATTTTAGCAGCGCGTCACTCCCGGATAATCGAAAATGGGCAAAGAGGCGGGAGCAGGTTGCGGAAACCACGCCCACCTAGCTCGACGGTGCTGACAGCATCGGCAGTCCACCGGTCACTCAAGTGGCCACGCCCATAATTATGCCCCTTAATACGCCCTTAATATAATTTAAACAGATGAGCAAAAATGAGCTATATAGACCAAAAACATTTTATGAACCAGGCTGTAAACATGTTTTTTTCTGCTGTAAAGTTGGGCATTTTAACATTTTGCAGCCAGCCTCTAGCGGCCAGTTGACAAATTACAGTTTAAGTCACTTCTGTGTTGGCTTCACGAGAGAGAGCGGGAGGTTGCCGCTTGGGTATAAACCAATAAAAGTAGGTATTGCAAGACTGCATGTGCCAATTTCTTCATCGTTTTATACACTAGTGGTATTGGACAAATGGCGTTTATTCAATTATGGCTTGAAAATAATGTCCAACAGTGTATATACATCACAGCAGAATTACAGTGTGTCATTTTTATGATCATTTCCAACATTAATTTCATTTCCTCCACATTGTTTGTTTTGCTAGGGCTAATTTCTTATGTTATTCTTCCTAAATTCACTAAAATAATAACTAAAAAAAATTATATATATATACACACAGTATTAAGAGCTGTTTGTGTGCAAAATAAAGGCGCATGATTCAGGATAAATTGAGATTTTTTTTTATTAATTTTTTTTAAAATGGAGGTTGTGGTTCTTTCATGATTCTGAAGAAAAATAAAACATTAGACAACTAAACAAAATCACATGTAATTTATGAATGGATGATGACTCACTCAAGATTTACTTGTTTCATTACTGGTTGAATCAGTGTTTTTGAAAGAATCTCTTGAAGCGTCAAATTACTTCCAGGTAAGGTAATTTACTCTGTTTTGATTGCTACCGTACACATCAGCATTTATATCCGAACTATAAACTTGTATCCCCGTACTTCTGTGATTGTTTGAATTGAATGTTTGTAACACAGAAATATTGATACTGTGTGGTTGAAAAGATTGTCTATGAAGCTGTTTCATACATATACATGACAGCTGCTCTCTTTAGGTCAGCGTCAGTGCGAACGCACATTTTAACGTTCAAATCACACAAGGACGAACAGAGAATGATCACACTGTTGTGATCACACACTTCAAAGGTTTAACAGCTGAATCGTTGCCATTTAGGAATAAGATGAGCGCTTAGATTAGCGAGAAAGGTCTTGACAGATCACCAGGCCGGGTATTCAACAAATGGGGGGAAAAAAATAAAAGATTTGTGCACAGGAATCGATAGGCGGAATCGAAATTAAAATTTTACAACAAGTATCCAAGTCCTGATTTTAAGTATCCGATTCTGGAATTGGATTCGATTTTCAATTCCCAACCCTACTTGGATGTTGTGTCTAATATTTAATGCAATGACGCAACAACTGAGGACAGTCTATTTTTATCTAAAAATAATTATAAATTATTTCACATGATAAATATTGAAATGTATTGTTTTTCATAATATAAAAATTTTTTGGGGTACGGGTAATTTGGATTATTTCTCATTCGGCTACATACCGGCAGTGAGGTTGACCACTGACGCGGTTCCAGCCGTGATGGCGTCCACTTGGGAGTGAATCTCGTGTTTGGATTCGTCCACCTTGTTTTGAACCCACATTCTGGACGCCTTTTTGGAGAAAAGAGATGAGAGTGAATACTAGCGTATTCATGTCTGTTTTCTCAGCTTTTTTAAATAAGAAATATCAAGGCTATCTAAGAGCAGGTTAATGATCAATGACAATCTCGGCACTTATAGTAAATTAGTGAACAGCAATTGTACGCCAATGCCATAATGCGTTAATGTAATGTCACAATAACAAAAACCTTAGTATAAATAACCACATTATGAGGCTTTTAGACTACCTTGTGACTCAATGTCCCTCATGGGATTTGAACTAGCAACCTTCTACTGCATAATATATCACACACCGGGACATACTGTACGAGGATCTTCTCTCTTAACACCTTTACCCACATAAAATCAGACAATAGACTGTTTACAGCAATACAACAGCACAATTTTTGCACCAGTTGCACAAAATTACAAACTTTACCTTAAATAAAAAAAAGAAAGTACAATATAATTCATTTAATTTCTTACCATGTCTTGTCCCAGTGGTGGAAGATTGTCTACCTCTCCCAGGTCAGCTTGTGCCTGCTGGACAGCCTGCATACTGGTGTTGATAGTTCCCATCAGTGCTTGCTGGGCCAGACTCTGTTGGCACAGGAAGTAGTCATTTAGAAGACGCTATGGAGAACAATAGGCTTTTACCACTACAGATGAACGCAAACACAAGCTAGATATGCATCTTTTACGCATCGTTGTGTTATGAAGTGCATCAGAACGTAATTCATAGTTTTGCCACAAGCTAAAGCACACACTAGCATGATCTTAGTTCATTTCGTGTCAAGTCGTGTCAGAGCAACAGTTTGAGGAGTCCAGTTCATGTGGATTCCAGATTGCATGGATCCATGTTGAAACGTCCACAAAATTGTGCAACGAATTTACAATTTCTTCAGTCTTAAACACAAGGTTACACTGCATAGTTTTAACGAACCCCACAAAAAAGCAGGGTTATAGTTAACTGACTTTTGCAAACAGGTTTCAAAGTGCAAGCTTTTGATAACGATACTGTTATCATCTTTGTGTAAACTACAAAAACACTATATTTGTGAAAACGGTGACATCATGCGCATGCGTATTATGTGTATTGCGTATCCGCTAAATGTGGATCGTTTTTACAACGTTGTTGTCTGTATGCAAAACTTAAAAAAAAAATGCACAGATTTTTTCCCCGGCTTTTAGTACATTGTCGTTGTCTAAACGTACCCTTAAACCGTTAAAAAAATTTCATTACTTGAAATAAAATATATATGAATCATTGACATTTTATTTCAGCTAGCTGCCAAGGCAACATTTCTCTTTTTCATTTAGTTTAACTTGATGTACTAAAATAACGAACTACAACTGAAATAAAACTAATAAAAACAACAGACATCATAAAAAAACAAAACTTACAACAAAATTACTAAAGCAGTAAATCTAAACGAAAGTGGAAAATATATATAAAAAAAAATTAATTAAAATAATTAATAATAAGAAGTACAATAGTATCTCAGTTATCACCTAGTCGCCAAAACCAGAAAGCAACAAACACTCAATTATCAAATGTTAATTTATTAGTCTATTAATTAGTCTAATTTACAATACGTTAGGCACAAATAAATTACAATGAAGATTTAGGTAACAGATGAAGCCATGAAAGTAGAACCGCATATGATGCGATCGTAATAAAAACATAAGTGCAGTTGTACATTCTCACCAGAGGGGGCATGTGTCCTCTGTGCATCTGTCCCGTGGTGATCTGCTGTTGAGCCGAGGGCATGGTGCCCATGTTGAACGTGTCGGGCCCTCCTATCGACCCCGAGCGCATGATGCCAGGCAACGCCACCGACCCGTGCTCGACTCGACCCACCCGATTAAACTGCTGCTGGAGGATGGTGGACCTATGAAGAAGTAATGACTCATTAGCAAACGCTGTCAGGCTGCATTCACCCTTATATCTGAATGATGGTTGTTGTTGTTGTTACGGTAATTACTGGCAGCCATTAAAATCAGCTGAGTGACGCTTCCCTATTCGCACCAGGAAAACAGACGCTTCAGGCACTATTGCTTAATTACAGCTCAATGTGAGAGGCCTCAATTTTTGGATTATAGTGCTAGAAGTAACATGAGTAAGTTGGCACGAGGACAGATGCAGGCACCGATGCCCGACGTCTCTCCCCTCTCTCCTTCACAGAGAAGGGGGATGCCGTCGCCCATAACAACCACTTTTCAGGCAGCGCTCGAGAGGACGTGACACATCTGTATATCCTATTCTGACAGAACCAGAGCCCAGGCCGGATAAAAGCGCTGGTGGAATTAAGTACAGGACCATATATTGAATATTCACAATATATTCATGAGAATTTTGTTATCGCTGTACAATTAGGTAAACTAGCCTGGTCTGAACATTAGCTCAGATTTGAAGTCTCTAGTGAAAAAGCTTCCCTTTTACATTTCTCTAATTTAATAAAAAAATAAAAAATACAAAAACAGTGGAACATGTTACATTTGTCTGGACAAATTTAAAATATCAACTCTGTTACCATGTTTTTGTGTAGTAAGAATCTGCTTAATTAAAAGGTGGATATCTATAGCAATATCAAAATTAAATTATTCTTTTAAGAAACATGTAAGGCTTGTAATGTGAAATTAAAATGTAAAACAGTCAACCCTGTTACTGTGATTTTGTATAGTGAACTTCAGATCATTAAAAAGAGGATATATGTGAAAATATCAGCATTAAATAATTTTGTAGTTTGATTTTGACTTTGAGCACAAGCCTTGTAATGTCAAATTAAACAATCAACCTTGTTGAAATTATTTTCTACAATAAATAATTGATTATTCACAACTAGATTATCAGAAATACCAGCATTCTCTTTCTAAAGTCAAGACCCTGAGTAAAAGGCTTGTAAAGTAAAAATTAAACAATAAAACTGTCAACCCTGTTACTGCTAATCTTTATATAGTACGTTTCAGAAGCCATAATTATATCCTAAATGTAATTACTGTAGCTTGATATGGCATAATGCAATTTATTAACCCTTATTTTTTTAGTAGAATGTTTTCACATTTACAGAAATATACTTTAAAAATCAACTTAACAAACTTTAAAAGACAGCTGTTACTCAAAATGATCCAAATACATAAATACCGAGATAGATTTATGAGTGGCTGAGAAATAGCAAAATGTAGGAAGGGAAATATTCACACATTCACTATCTCTATCTTCCAGGAACCTGATATCTTAAATGACGTTTTGCTGATGAGGTAGCGCTTTTTGTGGAAATAATAACCTCTCTCTCTTGCCCTCAGCGCCATCCGCATCAAGGGTAAAAGAAGAGAAAAATGTGTCTCCATCTCCTTGTGATTAAAAATGGCAGCGTGCAGTCTGAGCATCTCCTCCAACGTCATTAGACACCTCAGTTCCACTATCAGTTGAATACAAATGAAACAGTGATTCAACTAAAAAATGTTACAATGCAATTACAAGTGTGACGAGATGGCTGCTGCCTGAAATGGACACAGATTCATCCAGCATGGTGGATTCCTCATCATAGTCCAAACCAAACCGTTCCTTACTAATATTTTGGTGTTAATTTAGTGAAAACAATGCCTTAATTATTTTGTTACATTTGTCATTATGGGACTATCTTTAAATATCAACCCTGTTAGCGTGTTGTTGTTGTTTTTTTTTTAAAGGGGTCATATGATGCAATTTCAATTTTTCCTTTCTCTTTGGCGTGTTACAAGCTCTTGGTACATAAAGAAGATCTGTAAAGTTGCAAAGACTAAAGTCTCAAATCCAAAGAGATATTCTTTATAAAAGTTAAGAGTCAGCCACGCCCACCTAAAACGGCTCATTCTAACACACCCCCACATACCTACATCACTATCTGGGAAGATTTGCATAACTCCACCCAAATGTTCACGCAAAGAAAGAAGGCATAACTTTTATTCTTGCTGTAGTATTGTTGTTGCTGCCGCCATGTCGTGAAGGCGCTGTGTGTTTCGTTGTGAAAGTGAAACTACTTTGTTTGGCCTTCCAAAAGAGGACGATATCTGCTTCGTCATGCCTGGAGCTGATCCGTGCTGGTTGCTGAGGAAATACAACAACTTTGCGCTGTGGATCGCCGGATCGGCTTTCACCATGGAAGACGCGGAGTCCAGCCCGGGGTGGTCACATAAGTTTGCCACAAGCCTCCTTCGTCGAATCCGCCGGCCGTGCCGTTCTCAAGCCCGCCGCCTCTGCTCACTCTAGCCCTCCGGCCGTTCCTCACTCTAACCCCCGGCCTCTGCTCACTCTAGGCCGCTGTGTGTGACACTGTGTTTCGTTGTGAAAGCGAAACTACATTGTTTGGCCTTCCAAAAATGGACACGACTAGAAATCAGTGGTTAAGTTGTATTTACAACACTGTTTCAGAACACTTCAACCCAAATATTCAGATGTGTGCAGCACATTTTATGGAGGACTGTTTATTATTCACAACTAGATTATCAGAAATACCAGCATTCTCTTTCTAAAGTCAAGACCCTGAGTAAAAGGCTTGTAAAGTAAAAATTAAACAATAAAACTGTCAACCCTGTTACTGCTAATCTTTATATAGTACGTTTCAGAAGCCATAATTATATCCTAAATGTAATTACTGTAGCTTGATATGGCATAATGCAATTTATTAACCCTTATTTTTTTAGTAGAATGTTTTCACATTTACAGAAATATACTTTAAAAATCAACTTAACAAACTTTAAAAGACAGCTGTTACTCAAAATGATCCAAATACATAAATACCGAGATAGATTTATGAGTGGCTGAGAAATAGCAAAATGTAGGAAGGGAAATATTCACACATTCACTATCTCTATCTTCCAGGAACCTGATATCTTAAATGACGTTTTGCTGATGAGGTAGCGCTTTTTGTGGAAATAATAACCTCTCTCTCTTGCCCTCAGCGCCATCCGCATCAAGGGTAAAAGAAGAGAAAAATGTGTCTCCATCTCCTTGTGATTAAAAATGGCAGCGTGCAGTCTGAGCATCTCCTCCAACGTCATTAGACACCTCAGTTCCACTATCAGTTGAATACAAATGAAACAGTGATTCAACTAAAAAATGTTACAATGCAATTACAAGTGTGACGAGATGGCTGCTGCCTGAAACGGACACAGATTCATCCAGCATGGTGGATTCCTCATCATAGTCCAAACCAAACCGTTCCTTACTAATATTTTGGTGTTAATTTAGTGAAAACAATGCCTTAATTATTTTGTTACATTTGTCATTATGGGACTATCTTAAAATATCAACCCTGTTAGCGTGTTGTTGTTGTTGTTTTTTTAAAGGGGTCATATGATGCAATTTCAATTTTTCCTTTCTCTTTGGCGTGTTACAAGCTCTTGGTACATAAAGAAGATCTGTAAAGTTGCAAAGACTAAAGTCTCAAATCCAAAGAGATATTCTTCATAAAAGTTAAGAGTCAGCCACGCCCACCTAAAACGGCTCATTCTAACACACCCCCACATACCTACATCACTATCTGGGAAGATTTGCATAATACCGCCCAAATATTCACGCAAAGAAAGAAGGCGTAACTTTGATTCTCACTGTAGTATTGTTGCTGCTGTCGCCGCCATGTCGTGAAGGCGCTGTGTGTTTCGTTGTGAAAG